GTTCATCAGTCCAGTTCATCGGAACATCAGTCCAGTTCATCAGTCCAGAACATCAGTCCAGTTCATCTGTCCAGTTCATCAGTCCAGAACATTAGTCCAGTTCATCAGTCCAGTTTATCAGTCCAGTTCATCAGTCCAGTTCATCAGTCAAGAACATCAGTCCAGTTCATCAGTCCAGAACATCAGTCCAGTTCATCAGTCCAAAACATTAGTCCAGTTCATCAGTCCAGTTCATCAGTCCAGCTCATCAGTCCAGTTCATCAGTCCAGAACATCAGTCCAGTTCATCAGTCCAGAACATTAGTCCAGCTCATCAGTCCAGTTCATCAGTCCAGAACATCAGTCCAGTTCATCAGTCCAGTTCATCAGTCCAGTTCATCAGTCCAGAACAACAGTCCAGAACATCAGTACAGAACATCAGTCCAGAACATTAGTCCAGCTCATCAGTTCAGTTCATCAGTCCAGTTCATCAGTCCAGTTCATCAGTCCAGTTCATCAGTCCAGAACATCTGTCCAGAACATTAGTCCAGTTCATCAGTCCAGAACATCAGTCCAGCTCATCAGTCCAGTTCATCAGTCCAGTTCATCAGTCCAGAACATCAGTCAAGAACATCAGTCCTGTTAATCAGTCCAGTTCATCAGTCCAGTTCATCAGTCCAGTTCATCAGTCCAGAACATCAGTCCAGTTCATCAGTCCAGAACATAAGTCCAGTTCATGATCCCAGTTCATCAGTCCAGTTCATCAGTCCAGTTCATCAGTCCAGTTCATCAGTCCAGAACATCAGTCCAGTTCATCATTCCAGAACATCATTCCAAAACATCAGTCCAGCTCATCAGTCCAGTTCATCAGTCCAGAACATCAGTCCAGCTCATCAGTCCAGTTCATCAGTCCAGTTCATCAGAACATCAGTCCAGTTCATCAGTCCAGAACATCAGTCCAGTTCATCTGTCCAGTTCATCAGTCCAGAACATTAGTCCAGTTCATCAGTCCAGTTCATCAGTCCAGTTCATCAGTCCAGTTCATCAGTCAAGAACATCAGTCCAGTTCATCAGTCCAGAACATCAGTCCAGAACATTAGTCCAGTTCATCGGTCCAGAACATCAGTCAAGAACATCAGTCCTGTTAATCAGTCCAGAACATCAGTCCAGTTCATCAGTCCAGAACATCAGTCCAGTTCATCAGTCCAGAACATAAGTCCAGTTCATGAGTCCAGTTCATCAGTCCAGAACATCAGTCCAGTTCATCAGTCAAGAACATTAGTCCAGCTCATCAGTCCAGTTCATCAGTCCAGAACATCAGTCCAGTTCATCAGTCCAGTTCATCAGTCCAGTTCATCAGTCCAGAACAACAGTCCAGATCATCAGTACAGAACATCAGTCCAGAACATTAGTCCAGCTCATCAGTTCAGTTCATCAGTCCAGTTCATCAGTCCAGTTCATCAGTCCAGTTCATCAGTCCAGAACATCAGTCCAGAACATCAGTCCAGAACATTAGTCCAGTTCATCAGTCCAGAACATCAGTCCAGTTCATCAGTCAAGAACATCAGTCCAGTTCATCAGTCCAGTTCATCAGTCCAGAACATCAGTCCAGTTCATCAGTCCAGTTCATCAGTCCAGTTCATCAGTCCAGTTCATCAGTCCAGAACAACAGTCCAGAACATCAGTACAGAACATCAGTCCAGAACATTAGTCCAGCTCATCAGTTCAGTTCATCAGTCCAGTTCATCAGTCCAGTTCATCAGTCCAGAACATCAGTCCCGTTCATCAGTCCAGAACATCAGTCCAGTTCATGAGTCCAGTTCATCAGTCCAGTTCATCAGTCCAGTTCATCAGTCCAGAACATCAGTCCAGTTCATCAGTCCAGTTCATCAGTCCAGAACATCAGTCCAGTTCATTATTCCAGAACATCAGTCTAGAACATCAGTCCAGCTCATCAGTCCAGTTCATCGGTCCAGAACATCAGTCCAGCTCATCAGTCCAGAACATCAGTCCAGCTCATCAGTCCAGTTCATCAGTCCAGTTCATCAGTCCAGTTCATCAGAACATCAGTCCAGTTCATCAGTCCAGTTCATCAGTCCAGTTCATCAGTCAAGAACATCAGTCCAGTTCATCAGTCCAGAACATCAGTCCAGTTCATCAGTCCAGAACATCAGTCCAGGTCATCAGTCCAGAACATCAGTCCAGCTCATCAGTCCAGTTCATCAGTCCAGAACATCAGTCTAGTTCATCAGTCCAGTTCATCAGTCCAGTTCATCAGTCCAGAACATCAGTCCAGTTCATCAGTCCAGTTCATCAGTCCAGAACATCAGTCCAGTTCATCAGTCCAGAACATTAGTCCAGCTCATCAGTCCAGTTCATCAGTCCAGTTCATCAGTCAAGAACATCAGTCCAGTTCATCAGTCCAGAACATCAGTCCAGTTCATCAGTCCAAAACATTAGTCCAGTTCATCAGTCCAGAACATCAGTCCAGCTCATCAGTCCAGTTCATCAGTCCAGAACATTAGTCCAGCTCATCAGTCCAGTTCATCAGTCCAGAACATCAGTCCAGTTCATCAGTCCAGTTCATCAGTCCAGTTCATCAGTCCAGAACAACAGTCCAGAACATCAGTACAGAACATCAGTCCAGAACATTAGTCCAGCTCATCAGTTCAGTTCATCAGTCCAGTTCATCAGTCCAGTTCATCAGTCCAGTTCATCAGTCCAGAACATCTGTCCAGAACATTAGTCCAGTTCATCAGTCCAGAACATCAGTCCAGCTCATCAGTCCAGTTCATCAGTCCAGTTAATCAGTCCAGAACATCAGTCAAGAACATCAGTCCTGTTAATCAGTCCAGTTCATCAGTCCAGTTGATCAGTCCAGTTCATCAGTCCAGAACATCAGTCCAGTTCATCAGTCCAGAACATAAGTCCAGTTCATGATCCCAGTTCATCAGTCCAGTTCATCAGTCCAGTTCATCAGTCCAGTTCATCAGTCCAGTTCATCAGTCCAGAACATCAGTCCAGTTCATCATTCCAGAACATCATTCCAAAACATCAGTCCAGCTCATCAGTCCAGTTCATCAGTCCAGAACATCAGTCCAGCTCATCAGTCCAGTTCATCAGTCCAGTTCATCAGAACATCAGTCCAGTTCATCAGTCCAGAACATCAGTCCAGTTCATCTGTCCAGTTCATCAGTCCAGAACATTAGTCCAGTTCATCAGTCCAGTTCATCAGTCCAGTTCATCAGTCCAGTTCATCAGTCAAGAACATCAGTCCAGTTCATCAGTCCAGAACATCAGTCCAGAACATTAGTCCAGTTCATCGGTCCAGAACATCAGTCAAGAACATCAGTCCTGTTAATCAGTCCAGAACATCAGTCCAGAACATCAGTCCAGTTCATCAGTCCAGAACATCAGTCCAGTTCATCAGTCAAGAACATTAGTCCAGCTCATCAGTCCAGTTCATCAGTCCAGAACATCAGTCCAGTTCATCAGTCCAGTTCATCAGTCCAGTTCATCAGTCCAGAACAACAGTCCAGAACATCAGTACAGAACATCAGTCCAGAACATTAGTCCAGCTCATCAGTTCAGTTCATCAGTCCAGTTCATCAGTCCAGTTCATCAGTCCAGTTCATCAGTCCAGAACATCAGTCCAGAACATCAGTCCAGAACATTAGTCCAGTTCATCAGTCCAGAACATCAGTCCAGTTCATCAGTCAAGAACATCAGTCCATTTCATCAGTCCAGTTCATCAGTCCAGAACATCAGTCCAGTTCATCAGTCCAGTTCATCAGTCCAAAACATCAGTCCAGAACATCAGTCCAGAACATCAGTACAGAACATCAGTCCAGTTCATCAGTCCAGTTCATCAGTCCAAAACATCAGTCCAGTTCATCAGTCCAGTTCATCAGTCAAGAACATTAGTCCAGCTCATCAGTCCAGTTCATCAGTCCAGAACATCAGTCCAGTTCATCAGTCCAGTTCATCAGTCCAGTTCATCAGTCCAGAACAACAGTCCAGAACATCAGTACAGAACATCAGTCCAGAACATTAGTCCAGCTCATCAGTTCAGTTCATCAGTCCAGTTCATCAGTCCAGTTCATCAGTCCAGTTCATCAGTCCAGAACATCAGTCCAGAACATCAGTCCAGAACATTAGTCCAGTTCATCAGTCCAGAACATCAGTCCAGTTCATCAGTCAAGAACATCAGTCCAGTTCATCAGTCCAGAACAACAGTCCAGAACATCAGTACAGAACATCAGTCCAGAACATTAGTCCAGCTCATCAGTTCAGTTCATCAGTCCAGTTCATCAGTCCAGTTCATCAGTCCAGAACATCAGTCCCGTTCATCAGTCCAGAACATCAGTCCAGTTCATGAGTCCAGTTCATCAGTCCAGTTCATCAGTCCAGTTCATCAGTCCAGAACATCAGTCCAGTTCATCAGTCCAGTTCATCAGTCCAGAACATCAGTCCAGTTCATTATTCCAGAACATCAGTCCAGAACATCAGTCCAGCTCATCAGTCCAGTTCATCAGTCCAGAACATCAGTCCAGCTCATCAGTCCAGAACATCAGTCCAGCTTATCAGTCCAGTTCATCAGTCCAGTTCATCAGTCCAGTTCATCAGAACATCAGTCCAGTTCATCAGTCCAGTTCATCAGTCCAGTTCATCAGTCAAGAACATCAGTCCAGTTCATCAGTCCAGAACATCAGTCCAGTTCATCAGTCCAGAACATCAGTCCAGGTCATCAGTCCAGAACATCAGTCCAGCTCATCAGTCCAGTTCATCAGTCCAGAACATCAGTCCAGTTCATCAGTCCAGTTCATCAGTCCAGTTCATCAGTCCAGAACATCAGTCCAGTTCATCAGTCCAGTTCATCAGTCCAGTTCATCAGTCCAGAACACCAGTCCAGTTCATCATTCCAGTTCATCAGTCCAGTTCATCAGAACATCAGTCCAGAACATCAGTCCAGTTCATCAGTCCAGAACATCAGTCCAGTTCACCAGTCCAGCCTCCCAGTGGTTAGGCGAAGTACCCCCACAGGAACACGTTGATGGTCAGCAGCAGCAGGGCATTTATATTGCAGACGTTCCTCCAGAGCGGTGCTTCCTGCAGGGAGTTCAGCTCGAGGCCTTCAGGCTCCGCAGCCTCAGAGCCGGGAGCATTCAGACCGCAGAGCCTCAGTGCAGCCCTCCTCCACCAGGAGGTCACCGGGCCAGAAGTCACCGGGCCAGAGGTCATCGGGTCAGAGGTCACCGGGCCAGAGGTCACCGGGCCAGAGGTCACCGGGCCAGAGGTCACCTGGGGAGCTGTGAGGTCGAGGCGAGGCTCCTGGCTGTGTCTGGACCACCAGGTGAGCCTGTAGAGCTGCAGAGAGAGGGGCTACTTTAATAATATACCTTCTAATGTCAACCTCTGTTTACAGGCTTCACGTCCTCATTAAGAACATCAGTTACTCTATGTGCACCAACAGTTTGACCTTCAACCTTCTTTTGACCTGAGGACCCCCTGATACGCCACGCCCCCCTCCCTCTGTATTTCACGATGCAACCCAGACTCTACCCCGGGTCTTTCTGCAGACAGTATCTCTGTATGACTGAGAAATACAATACAGCAGCTTAAATTCTTTATTCACACACTAATTTCTGACTACCATGAGAAGTGTTGGGACCATTAGATACAGAGAGCACAAGATGAACATCATTACCTCTACTGTGGACAATTTACTTAACAAATAAACAAGCAATCCGTCCAAATGACCCCCTAAATCTTCTACATTGACCCTACATTCATTTAACTACTGAAAATCAGTCCACTGAGACCCTGAACAATGTCAGAAATTGAGTCAGCATCCTCAATAACCCCCAGGACCCCTCAGAACTGTCCAAATCAGCCAATCCACAGCCCACCTAGGCTATAATGCTAATGAATGCTAACACAACTGATGCTAACTGTGTAAATGTCCCAACATATGCAGGTTAGCATCCAGCAGTCTCTATGTGCTGGAGGCCCTACTATACATTTCTATCAGAACTATTTGGGGTCTCAACATGTCCGGGGGTCAGGACTCTATGAGCTGCAAACACACTGTGAGGTCACAAAGAGTACATGTTTGTGGATGTATGTTCCTCACATGTTCTTCGGGGATGGGGGGCGTGGCCAGACTGACAGCAGCGATGATGAGGCAGGTGAGAGCCAGCAGGATCAGGGCAAAGTGCAGATAGTGGACCTGAGCCAGGAGCGCAGGCCGGCCGTCAGGCTGTCCGCAGGCCGGAGCTTTGAAACTGAACTCCAGAACCATCCGGACCAGTCCCACCAGCAGCCCCCCCATCAGCCCCCAGAACGCACCCTGAGGAGCACATGGACACATTAAAGAGTCACTGAGGCTGGGGACATTATAACACTATATCAAGTAGAACAATAACCCTGGTTTACTTTACACAAGAGAACCTCTGGAGAAATGTCCTCTGTTCTAACTGGTTACTGGGGACCAAGATGTGGAACCAGTTTGGACATGTCAGTAAACAAATTAAAGAAAATAATTCCTCCTTACTGACTCTAAAACGACCCATGTTGTATTTTTGCTTTATTATCTTCTCAGAGTTACAGAAAGGGTAGTTTACATCGGCAGAGTTATATCAAACTGGCGAGTGTGTGTGTGTGTGTGTTTACCTGCTCGTTAGCACGGGGCCACAGGATGGCCATCAGGAAGACCGCGGTGATGGGAGGAGCCAGAAAGCTGGTCACTGATTGGATGTAATCGAACAGCTGTCCACTGTTGGCTGTCTGGATGACGGGTATCCACATCAGACTCACACACACCATGACCAGGACGAACACCCTAACATTAACACACATAACACATGTTACATACATGTATATAACACATATAAAAACACATGTATACAACCCAACCCACTCTCTTCAGCCTGCGTACAAATGACATGACTTTACACATTGGAAATGAGTGCAATAGGTACGCAGAAGTCCGATTGTGCGTGCACATGATACGCCAACCATTCCCATTGAGTTCTGAGTCTTGCGTGCATATGATACGCCAATGGATACGTCCAAATAGCGGTCGGGTCTTGGAAGACCGGAAGCTGTGTGGTTCATAAAAACATGATCTTACTCAATATCAAGCCACGATTATTTAATTTATTATAAATCGTATAATGTCGGACTTTTTTTGCCTTCCGCGAGGAAAATAAATGTGGCTCAGAGCCTTAGAATACTGAAATCTGTATTTTTTTAAACATGTTTTTCCTTCCATTTGTTATTCTTTTCTAAATAACACACTGTTATTTACTCAACAATAATACACAATTATCCTTGTGTTTATTTATTTGTTTAATTCTATAATATTGGGCTTTTTTGCTGTCCGTCAGGAACTGAATTTCAAAATAAGTCACCGGAAACAGACCTAAGCAATACACACCGACGAACTGATTACCCAGGATCCTCAGCTATGGTTCAAGCTCGGTGATTGGATGTTTTAGCCGCAATGCACTTTGGGATATGGGGTTTCTGTGATATGAAATAACTATCAACAGAATTGCGTTGCCAAGGCAACAGCTTGGGGTGAAAAGATTTCCGGTCTCGAAGTTTGCATAGTAATCTACAGCCACACAAGCCTCCCCTGCCGAGTATGTACCTCACCAACGCCAGGTCCATAGTGCACAAAACGGACGATCTGGAATTACAACTCGCCGGAAACAACTACGTTCGTGACTGTTGTTTACTTGTGATCACGGAGACCTGGCTTCATCCACAAATCCCCGATGCTAGCGTGCAGCTAGCAGGCCGCACACTACTTAGCTGGGACAGAAACAAAGACTCTTGTAAGAGCCGAGGAAGGGGGGGGGGGGTCTCTGTATGTACGTACATAAGAACTGGTGTAATAACGGCATCATCATTGACCATCACTGCTCTCCTGACTGTGTATATACCACCACAAGCTAACATCAACACTGCACTCTCCCTCCTGCTAAACACCATCAACCACCAACAGCAAGCTCACCCCAATGGCGTTCACATTGTTGCAGGAGATTTCAATAAGGCCAACCTAAAATCTGTTCTGCCTAAATTCTACCAGCATGTCAAGTGTCCGACCAGAGGGAAAAACACTCTTGATCATGTGTACTCCAACATCAAGCACGCATACAGAGCCATACCTCTCCCCCACCTAGGCCTGTCAGATCATATCTCCCTGCTACTGACCCCTTCATACACCCCCCTTAGACGGAGAACAAGTCCAACAAGAAAGTCTGTTACAACCTGGCCTGAGGATGCACTCACTCAGCTTCAGGACTGCTTTGAACACACCCAGTGGGATGTATTTGAACACCAGCAACAGGACCTGGCAACCTACACAGAGATGGTACTGTCCTACATGAAATACTGTATCGACAACGTCACTATGGTAAAAAGCATCAGGGTTTACCCAAACCAGAAACCCTGGATGACTGGCCGGGTCCACATGCTGCTCAAGGCCCATGACTCAGCCTTCAGGTCAGGGGACAGAGCTCTCTACAGTGCTGCTCGAGCCGACCTGAAGAGAGGAATTACAAAAGCCAAGACAGACTACAAAAAAAGGATTGAGGACCACCTCAAAAGCAACAACCCTAGGCAGGTGTGGCAGGGCATTAAGAACATTACCAACTACAGGGGGTGTGACACGGCAACTGGGGACTCAAGCGTGTCGCTAGCAGAGGAACTGAACTGCTTCTTTACTCGCTTCGAGACACCACAGCAGCAATCAGCAACTCCACCCCAGCCCCCAACCGCTCCCAGCACCCCCCCACTTACTTTGGAGGAGCATGATGTGAGACGGGTGCTCAAAGCACTGAACCCCAGGAAGGCTGCTGGTCCAGATGGAGTACCTGGGAAGGTGCTCAGAGCGTGTGCCAACCAGCTCTCACAGGTCTTCACCAGCATTTTTAATCTCTCCCTGAAACTCGCTGTTATCCCACCTTGCCTTAAAACTGCCACTATCATTCCTGTTCCTTAGAAAGCAACCACAGACAGCCTTAATGACTACCGCCCCATTGCACTCACACCTGTGATCATGAAGTGTTTTGAGAAGCTGGTGTTACATCACATAAAGGCCTGCCTTCCCCCCACCCTCGACCCACACCAGTTTGCCTACAGAGCAAATAGATCCACTGAAGACGCCATAGCTCTCCACTCTGCACTGAGCCACCTGGAGCATTGTGGGAGCTACGTCAGATTGCTCTTTATTGACTACAGCTCAGCGTTCAACACAATCATCCCGGACATTCTAGTTTGCAAACTATCAAACCTAGGCTTTCCCTCACCCACCTGTTCCTGGATCAAAGATGTCCTCACTAACCGCCCCCAGCGTGTGAGACTTAGCCCCCATCACTCCTCCACCCGCACTCTCAGCACCGGCTCTCCTCAGGGCTGTGTGCTGAGCCCTCTCCTGTACTCGCTCTACACCCACAACTGCAGTCCAGCCCACCAGAGAACATCATCGTCAAGTTTGCTGACGACACCACTGTGGTGGGGCTCATCTCAGGAGGAGACGAGTCGGCCTACAGGAGTGAGGTACTGAAGCTCTCAGCGTGGTGTTCAGTGAACAACCTGGCACTGAACCCCACGAAAACCAAAGAGATCATCGTAGACTTCAGGAGGAATACTACCGACCTCGCTCATAGGCAGCGCGTGAGGCTCAGGTTTGGGAAGGCTAAATAACTTATTTGTTTATCTTACGCTGCCCGCCTCCGGCGTCTATAGAAAAGAGATCAACTCAGTGAAAGCACCGCCTGCTGACCGATCAGAGCTCAGTGTGCGGAGTTTAAATCTATCAAGTCATATTATAGGAAAAAGGAAATGCAGTTTAAACTGCCGTATGCAGAGAAGACGCCGACGTGTCGCACTTATCATTCATATCACACTGACATCACATCATCAATCAGATCATCGATCACACATCGATATCACAATATTTCCTTATCTGAGTCAGCTTCTCGAGCCGTATCTGGCCGTGCAACACTTAGTTACATTGTCACATATACTGTATGCAGACGTATTATTTTAAGCAACACATTAAGTTGACGAAACACTCAACTCAAATGTAATAAAGTCAGATCCCCTCGTGTTTTAGATGGGGCAGTGATATCATAAAACTGTTTTCAAACACTCGGTAGTTTATTTTTTAACGAGTTGTTCTGTATTCTCCTTGCAGGTGCAACTCTGTGGCTTGTATCCTGGATTATATGTTTAAGTCATCATGGATGTTTAAAGTTCATATTTGTCTAATATTAGTTTACTTTTCATTAATGAAGTATGATGTTGCGCTGTCAGTACACTTGTCCCTGTTTGTGATTGGTCAAATGTAGCTAACCCCGCCCCTTTCACGTGAACGCGTTCTCAGCTGGAGAGAGAAACCCTGGCTTGATTCACCGAGTTGATAACCAGCGCCGTAGGACCGTTTAGCGAGATCGCGTTTGTTAGGGTTAGTTAAGATAACTCAAGCACATCCAGGGTCTGTTGAACTGGCTTCGTGGTACAGGGCACAGGTGGCTGCATAGCAGCGCTAATATCAAAGACACACACATTATACATTATATTTTTATTTTACCAGGATGCAGTGACATAAATATTTGAGAAGGCTTAGCCTTCCCTAGCCTACAGCACCCGCCGCCCCTGACCTCGCTCCCCTCGACATTAACGGTGAGTGTGTGGAGAGGGTCCACACCTTCAAGTTCCTTGGCGTCCTCATCACCAACAACCTCTCCTTGAAGGACAACACCACAGCTGTCATCAAGAAGGCCCAGCAGCGTCTGCACTTCCTGAGGGTGCTCAGGAAGAACAACCTGGCCACTAAGCTGCTGGTGACCTTCTACCGCTCTACCATCGAGAGCCTATTGACATACTGCATCACAGTGTGGTACGCCAGCTGCACTGAGGCCGACAGGATGAGGCTCCAGAGAGTCGTAAAAGTGGCTGCCCTCTCCCCTCCCTGATGGACATTTACACCTCCCGCTGCCTCAGTAGAGCCAAAAACATTATCAAGGACAGCTCACACCCCGGCTTTCACCTGTTCTACCTGCTGCCCTCCGGCAGGCGCTACAGGTGTATCACATCCAAAACAAACAGACTCAAAGACACTTTTTTCCCAAGAGCCGTCATTGCTCTTAACACCTGAAATCATACCTCTTAATCATCATAAATGTGACTCTGTACATACATACATATATATCATGACTATTATTTTTATAAATACATACTATTATTATTATTTATTACATTACAGATTTTATTGTTATACTCCTGGAAATAATTACTGCGCTTTATTCCTTATTTCTTTATTCCTTATTCCTAAGTATGTATGCTGCGTGTATTTGGTGTCTTATGTTGTGATGTTTTTTTGTTTTGATGGCACCCTTGAAAGGGAGAAGCATTTATTATCTCATTGTACATGTATAATGACATTAAACGATTCTATTCTATTCTATTCATCAACTAAAAACATCAGTTTATCCTTGTTGATTACACAATATTGATTGGTTTAAATTGTGTACAATGCTTTTGTGTTTTCCCCTTTCGATTCGGAAAAACAAATAGTTTTTTCAGAGTTTAGGATAGCCGAAGACACTACACTACCCAGAATCCTCAGATATCGAGTCTGATTTTTTTGCGTGCATATGCTAGGCCAACGGATACGCCCACATAGCACGTTTCACTTTAAAGGAACACGACGTCACCAGCAAGCCTGCAGCATTGAACCTTGACCCGAATACGGACTTCCTCGAGGTAAGCGCCGTGTTCTGTAATGTAATAAAGACATTTACAGTGTTTTTTCAATGATTTCAGCTTTTGCATCACTTTACACAGCACCATGTGTCGACATACAAGCTTACGTGTGCAAATGATTAGTTAGTTAAACCGTAAACTGCTCAGTTAGCACAGCTAGTATGAGGCAGCATTGATGTTAGCCTGAGCCTGCAGTATTGAACCTGGGGGGGAGGGGACACTCAGTTTTCTGTAATGTAATTAAGAAATGTACAGTGTTTATAAAATGATTTCACTGTCGACATAAAAGCTTACGCGTGCAAATTATTTGCTAGTTAAACCGTAAACTGCTCAGTTAGCACAGCTAGAAGGCCTATGAGGCAGCATTGATGTTAGTCTTAGCTAACCTCTGTCGTTTACGGACCTGTTGCAGTTTGAAATCAATCGATATACTACATAGTTGCTTTTTGACTTAGCCTGTGACAGCACCACACACGAATAGACTTTGTTAGTGTTATTAAGTAATGGTAGCCAACTGAACCCGCAAGAAATTAAGTGCATTTGTCAACCTGATTTAATCCCAAATGAGTGGCGATTTACATCTTACAAATCATGTTTGGGGAAAAGGCATGTTAATGCATACATCTGTAAGTCTTATATGTAACTTGGTATCCCTGTTTAAGGTGATTATCGTACATAATACTTTACTGAATCCAGATCAGTATTTCGGGTTTTAAAGCTTACATTCACTCTTCAAGCCGATCTGAGATCTGCTCAAATAATTGTTGCATTGATATTTAAACAGACATTACTAGTTGCTTGCCGATACATGATCCAGTCCACATAAACTATGAGTTTAGGAGTAAGGCTGGATATGTCATTTATAATTTCATTTTATATTCTGTGCATTTACCAAA